GGTATCGGCGGTATGCTCAATCGTGAACTTGATTGTTGGGTGAATGGTGTTCAGGAAGTTGAAGTACTCTTCGAGGGCTTCTTTCCCATGGGTCCAGACCCCAAAGACGTCGTCTATGTACCGAAGGTACAGGACGGGCTGGAGGCGCTGGGCGGCAAGGAACATTGATTCTAAGGCATGCATGAACAAAATTGCTAGTGGTGGGGCCACCCTCATGCATGCCTCATGCATGCCTTAGAATCAATGTTCCTTGCCGCCCAGCGCCTCCAGCCCGTCCTGTACCTTCGGTACATAGACGACGTCTTTGGGGTCTGGACCCATGGGAAAGAAGCCCTCGAAGAGTACTTCAACTTCCTGAACACCATTCACCCAACAATCAAGTTCACGATTGAGCATACCGCCGATACCGGTTCATTGGCTTTCCTTGACACCAAAATATCAATTTAGGAGTCTGAGTCTTACACAGGTGAACTTTACGTAAAACCCATGTCATCACCAGTGATCGTTCACTTCCTCTCAGCGCTACCCCTTTCCACAAAGAAAAACACAGTACGGTCACAATTCTTACGGGCCATCAGGGTCTCTTCCCCGGGACTCCCTCGGGCGCGCAGTTTGAAAACAATCCAGGACCTATTCGTAAAAAATGGCTACCCTCCTCACTTAGTCAATCGGTTGAAAAACGAACCAGTCCGAAGAGCATCAGCCTCTCTGACTCACGCCACTCAGCAACAACCCCTCAAACCTTCATTACCCTTCCTTTCGTGGATGATGAACTCTGCCGTAAGACAGAAGGCATCATCAGGAGTAGTCATCTGAACATAAGGGTAGCGTGGAAGGGAGATCCCAGCCTGAAGAAAAAGCTGGTTAGGTCAGCCTACCTTCCTCCGCCGTGTCCGGGGGCAGGTAGGCGGTGCAATGGGTGTGAGGCAGGCCTTAAAGGCAAATGTCACCAAAAAATGTCATCTGTCGAATGGACTGTAAGCTGTGCGACGAAAACGCATCATTTTATATCGGAGAAACTCGCCGGTCTGTCAGGCTCAGGTACAACGAGCACATCAGAGATGCTAGAAACAGAAAAGAAGACACTCCCTTTGGCTTCCATCAAACCAAACATCCAGACATTCAGCTGGGCAGCGACAACATCTCGATCCAAATTTTGCATGTCTCCAAAGACGGTCCAGACAGAAAGATTTGGGAATCAATATACATTCGTGATCTGAAACCTACCCTTAACACACAAACCTCATCGTGGTCTTTGATACGGCGTGGTACCTGAGCCTGGCAGACTGATCGACATCGATCAACTGCATGCAAGGTGTATGTCATATCTGTATGTTGTATGTGTGTGTGTGTTTTTTTTTTTTTGCTGTGTTTGTGTGATGAATGTATTTAAGGTGTTTTAATTCACAACATCTGGGCCACCTATGTGTTCAAAAGAATATGTTCAAAAGAATGATGCACGATACGATACGAGGTTTATTTGATGTTAATTTATACGATGTTTATTTGATACGATGTCGATCTACATGCATGTGTGTAACGAAATGTTCTTGCGCCGCCAACTGTTATATAATATGAAGGAAGTACTGGATGAAATAACTGCAGACAAAACTATCAGCCCGAATGTATATTTTCTCAAATGTTTGCAAATAAAACTCCAGAGCTGATGATGGCGCAATGCCGAAAGCTTCTCAAAAAGTTTGTTTTATTTCGAATCCGGAATTTACTTTTAGATAGAATGAGAGTGAGGTTAATTTTCTTACTATTTGTTACAATGTCTCTCAAATTAGCGTTGAAACATATTCATAACTTAGAATACCCTAGATGGCCTTGTTTGCGCGATAACTGTACGTTTTGATTAAATTAGTGTAACCCGCGCCCTGCTGGGGTGGGGGGTGCTTGAACACCCCCCCCTGTGGTTTTTGGCACACCTTATCATACATCAATCAATAGACAATAGACAATAGAAATTTATTCAGGACATTCCACTGGAACATGTGGCTATTACTGCCCGTCGTCAGTAAAACAGGTAATGATAAAATACAATAAAAGATGAAAGGGGAATACATACAGAGAGACACTCATGATGACTAGTTGCTGGTGCTCTGCTCCTCGAGCAGATGCCTGCGTAAGCGTTGTCCGAACGCCCCCGGGGGCAGTCGGGACAAATCCGGTGGCAGTGAGTTAAGGGCAGCCGGCGCTCGGCAGGTGAACCGGCGTTTCCCCATCTCCGTACGGGATCGCGGCACGTGCAGGAGTGTGTCCTGCCGCGTGCTGACAGCAGCGTCCCGGCCGCGCGCCTCCGCCACGGTGGCCAGACTACCCGCCAGCACCTCCGGCTCGGCGTGACACCGCACTTTGTGTAACACGCATAGGGAGTGGTAGGTGACGAGGTTCTCCGCGCTGAGCCAGCGCAACTGGCACATCAAATCAGAAACATGATCGTACTTTTTGCGGCCGAAAATGACTTTTGCTGCGTTGTTTAAGATTTTTTGTATCCTACACACGTTGTAAAAATTTCAGACCCAGGTCATTCAAGGTCAGGTCACCAGGTCACTTGAAGTGACCTCACCTCATAAAAAGTTTCAATGTCTGCCATAGCTACACCGAGTGACCGATCGCTGTAAAGCCTTCAGATATTGCTAAGAGCAATAATATGTACAAAATTTAAATCTCAGAATTTTTATATCAATTACCTAAGGTCAGGTCGATTTTGCGACCTCCCCTCTATAAGTCAATTTGAACAAAATTGAAAGGCGCCTCTTTTGGACGAAAGCTATTATAAACACTCCCAAACACTGAATTACAAGCAACTAACACACTGAACATGAAAATGGTATCCGTGACCCTGCTTATGCCCCTGAGGTCATCGCAGGTCACGAATGATATCTACAGTTTTTTTCGCGAATACCTTTTGATAGAGGCAAGCTAGAGCGATGAAAACGCCTTGGATGTGTTCAGCTCAACGATACAGATCGACTGATATGCAACATGACCCTTTCCGGTCAGAATATGACCTTGAACTGAGGTCAAATATTCAAGTTGACCTTTCAAGGTCAAATTATAGTTCAGTCGATGCGTCTTGACGAGAGGAACACGATGCCGGTAAAATAAAGCTCATGCAAGGCTTGAACCAAGCAACTGTTATTTTTGTTGTTTTGTTGAATTTTCAAATGAAGGTATGTTTTAAATTGTTTTAAAACATACCTATTTCTATTTCTTCATGGATCAAACAACATCGGTGCTGGCGAGATTTTCGTTTATATAGCATGTTAACCCGCGCCCCACTGGGGTCTTTCTATAACGCGCCCCACTGGGGGGGGGGCTATTTATAGCCCCCCCCCCCTCCTAACTCCAAAACCACTGGGCCGATTGTCAAAAATCAAACGGCGTCTGATAGCCCTGGAAAAACTGTCGAGCGAAACCTAATTTCATTGACCTCGAGGTCACCGATGACGTCACAGGTCAGGTCAAAGTAAAAATTATCGACGTTTTGGCTTCTTAACTATTTGAGCTCTGGCCGCCGGCTCAAAAGTCGGATCAGGCTCAGTTTTGGATTACACACTCATGAATACATGCCTAAGATGCCGTTAGGGTACCAAACTTGTACTTCGAATATTTCAGGTCACGGGCAGGTCATCCTAGGTCACGGAAATATTATATTTAATCGGTCACGTGACACATGTTTTATGATCCATTTAGGCCATAGATTTCAAAATCAGTGTCGTCTGTGTCATATCAGGCCATTTTCAGCTGAAAAAAGCTGAGGTCAGGTCATTTTCAGGTCAAAAGAGGTCAAATTTTTAAGTTGAAATTTTTCAACAAAAAAGGTGTCTATCAGATGCAGTTTGAGCTCAGGGACACGATGGTGCTATTTATTTTGGTGTACGATGTCAAAAACGTACCGAAAAAGTGATTTGAAAATTTGATAATGACGGGTTTTTACTATAAAGCGTATAACTTGGCTACTTTTGAAGATGATATCGGGCAAAAACTTCCTAGAGTAGGTCACCGGTATGTGTTCTATCACATATATTCCGTTTTTTTTTCGAAAAAGCAAAAACCTTTTTGAAAAATTTCAAAAATATAATTTTTGAAAGTATATATGTCCAATTTTCAAAATTTTCAAAATTTTGAAAATCCGAGATAGCAGTTTGATAGCCCTGTTCATTCTAAAACCTCTCGTGCAAAGAAATTGGATCTATCTTAAAAACTGAGCTCTTGAGAGCGATTGCCGTAGTTCAATGTTTTGCATCAAAGTAGGCCGAACATGACGTCACTCTGACGTCATTTCCGGCCGACCTATGGTAGATAGAAAGTTGTTATTTAGACACAAGGTGTCAAATTAATGCCGGCGAAGGTACTGAAAGTTTCGTGTTGATACGTCAAGCGGTTTAGAAGCTATTGCAGAAAAACGAGAGGGGGGCTATAAATAGCCCCCCTAGTGGGGCGCGGGTTAAGGCAGTATGTTCAAATTACCCCACGGTGGGGCAGTTTGAACTAGAGATGTCAATCGGATACCAACTTTTTGGTATACCGATACCAAACCGATACCAACTTGGTATTTGGTATTTCAAGGCTAATGCATTTGGTATTTTGTTGGTATTATGAATCCTCGCTAATGTAAAAGAGGTTGTGAATTCGGTAAAAAGTTGGTATTTCCCTCATATTCCCAAGTCGGTTTGGTTTCGGTATTTTTTCATGGCTATTGTTGGTATTTGGTTTGGTATCGGTATGACGATTTTCTGCAATTGACATCACTAGTTTGAACACACCGTGACTTGGTGGAGAAGTGAGGCTATGCTATTTTCAAGGTATGCTCGGCTCGTCCAAAAATGAGGCTTGCATGGTAAAAGCAAGTGACATTTGCGCTACTGAAACAGTTTTCCTTCACCCAGGATTGAGCTGTAATTTGGTACGATGGAGAAGGCGTAAAAATATGTTCAAATTACCCCACCCTACACTATATAACACAGAAACATGTTCTTTTACAGTTCACCGGGATATCAAGCCCGAAAACATCTTGTTGGTGCGGGACGAGAAAGATGGCATCGTGGCCAAGCTCGCCGACTTTGGTATATCCAAAGAGCTGACATCGGGCACGCAGGCCATGACAAGTTGGAAAGGCACTCTGGACTGGATGGCTCCAGAGGTGCAAGAGAGCGGAGGTCAGGTTGGATCCGTAAGTGCCCAGTTAGTCGATACCAGAGCAAATTGGACACCTTAATTATTTGTTTTATGACGTCGCTGTATTCTAAACTTGGAAGGACTTATCATTTGCCAATGTGATCCCTATTCCCGGAAGTAGCTGGGGTGTTCCGCCACCCGCCAGCTGCTGGGAGGTGGGGGGAGGGGGCGGTAAAAGCCTCCAGCCGATAATTCGAGAACCAAAAGGCGCAGCGCACCGCGCAAGGCAGGCAAACGAAAGAATGCGACGAGACGCTTAGGATAAGTACTTAACCCGCGCCGGGCCGGTGCTCCGCGACTTCCGCGCCGGCCCGGGGGGGGGGGGGGTGTCTGAACACAAGAACCCCACAACAACCCCCTTCTAACTCGGCTCCTGGGTCACGTAGCGACACGCGATAAGCGGCATTAAAAAAATCGTCCAAAATAATGACGAAAACACTTCGGCCATTTTCGGGTCAGGTCAAAGGTCAGGTCACCAGAGGTCACCAAAGGTAAAATGTTGGCTATTTCAACATTTTGAAACTGCCAATAGCTAACTCGCGAACCGATAGAGCTACAGCGCCGCGGAAAAGCGCATTCGATAGCTCTTTTGACGCTCTTTCGCCAATAAGTCCTCAGATTTTACCTCAGGTCAACGGTTTAGCCTCCAGAGGGCAAAAACTAAAAAATAGCCGTTGTTTACGAAGTGTTTTTCGGCAATAACTTCTGACTAAGAGAAGCCACGACATTACTGTTGCCAGCATCGTGTTCCTCTCGTCGAGACGCGTCGAATGAACTATAATTTGACCTTGAAAGGCCAACTTTAAAATTTGACCTCAGGTCAAGGTCATGACCTGACTGGAAAAGGTCATGTTGCATATCAGTCGAGCCGCATCGTCGAGCCGAACACATCTAAGGCGTTTTCATCGCTCTATCATGCCTCTATCAGAAGTTATTAGCGAAAAACTGTTAGATACTATTCGTGACCTGAGATGACCTCGGGGACATAACGAGGGGTCACAGGTGTCATTGTCGGGTTCAGTTTATCCATTTTACCTGCATCCCGATGTATTTCAGCAGCATGGACAGTGACCATCCCACTTTAACACTAATTTCGAGTTGATATAGCCAAATTGGGACCCCTGACTTGCAATTACCGATTTGTAGCGGCGGCGCTTGGCTTAACCCACGCCCCGCTGGGGTCCGCCGAGCAACGCGCCCCGCTGGAGGGGGGGGGGGCAATTTGCCCCCCCCCCTAAGATCTCGAGAACCACGCAACATAGCGACAAGCAGCAAACGGCGTTGGATAGCCCCAACGGGGAACTGCCTTGTGACCCAATTTCATTGACCTCGGTCAAACCGATGACGTCACAGGTCAGGTCAAAGGTCGAATTTTCACCGTTTGCAGGCATTTCAAGAAATGTGTTGTAAAATCGAGTTGAATGCATATCATTGAAAATCATCGATGGGGAATTGTTCGTCAAACACATATGTTGTTATTTGAGGTCACTGATACCAGGTCAGGTCACAGAGGTCAGGTCACTGAGGGTCACAATATGAAAATATCATGTGATGCATGTTTTATGGTCCATTTTATATGACAAATGCGATTATGTGGGTCAGGCAACCTTTGGGGCCAGTTTAGGTTATGTTCTGGTGAAGGTCAGGTCAAGGTCAGGTCAAATAAGTTCAAATTTCAAACTTGATATTTTTGCATAAAATGGGTATCGATTCGATGCAGCTCGTCACGGGGAGTCTGATGGTGGTCTTTGTTTTTCGCTACATGGTCTAGAAGTGCTAAAAATTGAGTTTGAAAATTTGACGTCATCAATTTTGAACAGTTTTTTTTCGCTATAACTTGGCCAAAAAAAGAGGTATCGATCCAAAATTTGGTATGTAGATAGAAGAGGGCGGGGGCTATCACATATATTCCGTTTTTTTTTTCGAAATTCGAAAATTTTTTGAAAATTTTTTGAGTTTTTTCTAAAAAATCAATTTTTTATTTTGGGGGGTCAAAATCCGAAAATTTCAAAAATCCGAGATGGCAGTTTTGTAGCGCCATCTTTTCTCTACACGACCACATAAAGAACTTTAAAATTGCTTGTTAGCTGTAGATTTGGTGAGCCTTTCAAGATGTCATGTTTTTTGCTCATTTTTGCTCGAACATGACCTCAGTTTGACCTCAATAACTCCTGACCCAAGGTGAGCTGTGACTTAAAATTTTGTGTGAAGGTGTCAAATTGATGCCCGGGAAGGTACCCAAAATTTGGCGGCGCTGCGCGCCGCTGTTTTCTTGCTATTCAGGAAAAACCACAGGGGGAGGCTAAATTAGCCCCCCAGCGGGGCGAGGGTTAAAATTCAAGTGAGGCACTCGTATAAGGACTTATAACCTAAGTACAACAATATTCGCAGAATATACAGGGTGGGCCAGAATAACCCGCGCCGGGCCGGGGGGGGTGTTTGAACACCCCCCCTTGCGGTTTTTCGCCGATATCTCAAAAACGGCGGCGCGGAGCGCCGCCGTTTTTGGCACACCTGTTCGTGCATCTTTTCCGCACATGTTGTGAAAATTTCAGACCCAGGTCACCTTAGGTCAGGTCACCAGGTCACGCCAAGTGACCTCACCTCAGAAAAAATAAGAATGCTCGTCATAGCTACACCGACTGAACGATTGCCTTGAAACTTTCAGCGATTGATTAGAGCAACACTATCTATAAAATGTATATCTCGGAATTTTGATATCGGTGACCTAAGGTCAGGTCAATTTTGCGGCCTCTCCATTATAAGTCAATGGGAGAAAATTGAAAAGCGCCTGTTTTGCACGAACGCTATTCTAGACACTCTCAAACATCGAGATGTAGGTAAAATAGACACATTGAACCAGAAAATGGCAACTGTGACCCCTCGTTATGTCCCCGAGGTCATCTCAGGTCACGAACAGAATCTAACAGTTTTTCGATGATAACTTCCGATAGAGGCGTGCTAGAGCGCTGAAAACGCCATAGATGTGTTCGGCTCGACGTTGCGGATCGACTGATATGCAACATGACCTTTTCCGGTCAGGTCATGACCTTGACCTGAGGTCAAATTTTCAAGATGACCTTTCAAGGTCAAATTATAGTTCATTCGACGCGTCTCGACGAGAGGAACACGATGCTGGCAAAAGTAATGTCATAGCTCTTTTGAGTCAAAAGTTATTGCCGAAAAAATGTTTTTCGTAAAAACGGCTATTTTTGGAGTTTTTGTCCTCTGGAGGCTAAACCGTTGACCTGAGGTCAAATCTGAGAACATTACTCAGAAAGGTCTGTAAAAGGGCTATCGAATGCGCTTTTTTGCGGCGCTGTAGCTCTATCGGTTCCCGAGATAGCCGTTGGCAGTTTCCAAAATGTTGAAATAGTCAACATATTACCTTTGGTGACCTCTGGTGACCTGACCTTTGACCTGACCCAAAAAATGACCGAAGTGTTTTCGTCCTTATTTTTTACGTTCTTTCGATTGCCGCTTACCGCGTGTCGCTACGTGGCCCAGGAGCCGAGTTAGAAGGGGGGGGGGGTGTTCAAACACCCCCCCGCGGCCCGGCGCGGAATTTCAGAGCACCGGCCCGGCGCGGGTTAAGTGTAATACTTTCTGCCGTCGATTTCTCAAGACTGGTAAAATATATGAAAATAAAATTTTGACAGCTGGTAGAAAAACGTTTGCCAAATCATATAGTAATATTTGCCTAAAAAAAAAAATCCTAGCAAAATAAGATTATCGTCATAATTAAGAAAAACAACATTTGCGTGTTTTCCTTTAGGGGAAGCCGGGGGAAGCCCGGCATAGTAAGCTCTTTTTCATTTTTATTACATACCATACGTGCTGTATAAAATGTTGATATCCTGTTAGGTAGCTAAGTTCATTGGCCGTGTTTTCCCAAAAATTCGGTTTCGTGGAATAAGTATAAGGTTGAGAAAATCGAGTTTTAAAAAAGTGTTGATTTTTCTGGGGTAAGCCCGGCATAGGGGTAACGCCGGCCACCTCCCCAGCGCTTTACAACGAGTTGATGAAACCATTATGTGTCTTCCAAATATTAACGGAAAGTGAAATATTAAGGTACTGATTAGCTCTGGACATCTTAGAGTTTATGTCACTACTGGTGTTTTAGCTAGCGTCTACCACATAAACAGTACAGGTCGATGAAAATCGTGATGCAAAATTGGCAAAAAATGTGTATTTTAAAATTCCTTAGAATTTAGTTTTCTTTTTACCTTAATGCATCATATTGCACATCATTCGACTCGGCTGATGAAGAAGAACACAACGACACCATTTTTGAAGCTCTAGCTTCATTGTCTGTCGCGTTATCTGCAAAAACGTAGTTTGACCCTAGTTGACCTTAAGTGACATGACTGGCTTTGTCTATGATAACATGTTTATTTTCGAAATTTATCTTTGATCTAGGTGTAAACCAAACCTGCTCAGTACCCATTATCTCATGGAAAACAGTGGTTTAGTGGCATTGCTCTCGGTTGGGGGTAAGCTTGGCCACTCGCCCGGGGTTACCCCAATGTGCTAATTTTTATTTTAGAACAGCGATATTCGAAAAAATGTCATACTTAAGCCAGCCTGCCTCGTCACCCCTCACTACAAACACTTAAACGGTCCTTACATAACATTCGTATAAATATTAGTACTGTATGGTATAACATTAACAGTGCAACATATCTCACTTTTTAGCTAAAAACCCTTAAAATATCATTTTTGCGCTATAACTTTAACAATATGCAATTTTTGTTAGCCTTAACTTTTTTGCTGGCGTTACCTTAGCTGCCACGCTGAAAGGACAAACAGTTGAGCATTTTATTGTGAATAATTTAGCCGGAAACGGGGTGGCCGGGCTTCCCCCGCGCCCGGGCTTCCCCCGGCTTCCCCTATTTGCACATGTGCTCGAAGTGGGCACCTTTGCGCTGCAAACACATCTGCACGCGTTCGAGGAAACTGGCTCCCACCCTCTCCGTGGTGTCCGCTGACACTTCT